AAAAAAAAAAAAAAAAAAAAAATGGTGGAACTGCAAACTGCTGAAAGTGCCCTGAATGACCCTGACGTAGCCGGGAGGTCAGAAGTCTTCTTGGAGAAAACCACACCTGGGCACTCCTTGCATGAACCATAATTTAGCACCTGGTAACGATGGGAAAGGGGGCACTGAGTTACCAAGAGCAGGAGAAAGGATGAGCACAGGGGATAGTGAATTCTCTGGGGGCGTGTTGAATTTGAGTTGTCTTTGGATCATCCCCACTAAGCAATTAGATTTGTGAGTCTGAATTGCAGGTGTATTAAGCATGGCGTTTCCTTTTGAAGGGATTTAAATTAATAAATGTTTGTGGAATAACTGAATGAATAAACACCCTCCAGGGTGGGATAGAGCTTTAGGAACATTTCAGTTTATGCCCTGCAGAGATGGTGACTGGCTGTGCCAGTTCACTCCTGCCAGGAACGGGCAGGATCCCATTGGTTGGCAACAGCCCAGGTAATGGGAGATGGGCTCCTTCAGCTCAGAGGTGCCACTTTTGTTCCCCAAAGGCAGCACACTTCCTGCCCTAGACAGAGAGGTCCCTCTGGCCCCTGATTTTTGTCCAGTCTGTACTGGCAAAGGGCAGCCCAAAGAGTCTGCTGAACTCTACAAATAACCACAGAATCACACAGAGCCCAGTTTTGACCTTTCAGGGCATCTTCCCTTCTCCCTCAATCTGTTCCTCTGCTAGAGGAGGAAGGGCTGGGATTTGACAAGCCCTTGGTTTCTGAGCCCTGTGCCTCTAACTTTCTCCTGGAATGAAATCTGAGTTCCCAAAGGGAGGAGGTTTCTCCCCATGAGTGGGGTAGGGGACTTCTGTGTCCAATCACACCTCCTTGCCTGATGTTTGAGGCTGGATGAGCCTGGGATGCCTCATGGGTCTCTGAGCCCTAGGCGTCCTCTGGCCCAGACAGTTCCCAGGCTGTTGGGAACGCCATGTCTTCTACCTCCAGCGTGAATTTCTCTGGTCTGTAGGAGGTGCCTTAGTTAGATCCAGCCAGGAAGCAGAGCTCCTATCACCATACCTGAGCTAGCAGGGGGGCCAAGCCTGGCTCACCAGGCTGACCAGTCTAGCAAGATCAGAACATCAGAGCAGGGGCCAGGAACAGTGCTGGCAGCCAGGTGCTTGGCTGAGGCCCCTGGCTCCCTTAGCAGGTGGGACAGCTGAGCAGAGCTTCCCTGAGCCCGCCTCCCTTGCTCTTCCCCACTGGGAGGGAGGGCTGGCAAAGCCCTGGCTCTGCCTCCCTGCGGCTCTGCCACTCACTCCTCCCATGGTCAGTCTCTCCTTCCCCAGCCCCTGTCCATTCCTACCTTTCGGAAGCACCAGGAGGTGGGCCTGGGTCCTCTGCTGCCTCTTCAAGCCTTCATACTGGGCTCGCAGGAAGTGGATGCTGAGTGGGGGCCCTTTCCCAGGGGCCTGAGTCCTGGAGCCCTCAGCCATGGAGCGAGATCCAAGCTGCCAGAAGTGGGGCAGGGCTGGGCATGGGCAGGGCAACCCCTCCATCCGGATCCGGGAGAAAAGCAAACAGAGCTGAGTGGGGCAGGACCCGGGGAGGAGGAGAGAGGGAGGGGGCAATGAGGGAGAAGGAGAAGTGACGGGCAAAAGGAGGGTGGAAAGGGGAGTGGGACTGAGGAAGGAGATAGAAAAATAAGGGGGAAGGAGAAAGATGAACAAGAGGAGGAGGTAGGGAGAGGGAGATATGGGTCGGAGGAGAAAGGTGGGAGACAGGGGCAGTAAGAGAAGGAAAGGTCGGAGGAAAGAAGGGGCAGCGAAGGGGGAAAGACTGGAGGGAGGAGGTGATAGTGACAAGGGGGGATTAATGGGGTGAGAGAAGAAAGGGAGGAAGAAGGAGACAGGCAGGAGGAGGCAGGGAAAGGAGCGATGGGGAGTAGGAGACTGAGAAGTAAGGGGAGGACTGGGGGAGAAAAGAGAAAGGCAAGCTCAGCTGCTCAGAGCCCTTCAGGGAGGTCAAGAAGGTATCTTACTCCAGGTCCTTTCATTGCTTGATCCTAAAGTTTAGAATCCAATTCCCAGTGATACGGTGAAGTCTCCCATTTCTTGACAGAGCTGGGACTGGGCCTGGGGAATGCTAAGCACCCTCTTGGCTCACACATTTTGGACTGGAACGTGGCCACTTTTCAGCAAACCTGCTGGTTGGGTTTGCAGTAGTTCAAAGAACACTCTCGGGAGCTTCACAAGGCCAGTGCTTCTGGATGTGTGCCCCGCGGTCACGCCCTAAAGAAACCCAGTAGCAAAGATCTCCCCAAGATCTCCACTCAGACCCCAACACACACCCCAGGTGAAAATCCAGCCCCAAAGCCAGCCATGGGACAAAACCCAGGGAAATCTTGGCCTCTGGCCAGCCCCGCCCCTTGGACATTTGGTGTAGCCTCTGCCGTCTCAGCATTTTCCAACCAAGTGGTAAGTTAGGCATCCCCTCAACCTGTGCTTGCCAGCCCCAACATTTCCACATCACTTTTGAATCCCAGACCCTCTCCCTCTTACACCAGCTTTGACCTAGCCTTGCTGCATTTGGTCAACTAAGTGCCTTTCTATCTTCTCCTATCATGGTGCTTACTGAATACCCAATTACCCAATATGTCTACAGAGGCCATGGAAACAGAGTAGAGCCTGAACCTACGAGACATTTTGGACATTAACCAGATACGATCTAGTTATTTGATGTGGGGGAGCAGTGGAAGATGGAGAGCAAATCTTCACTGGGTAGCATATGTTAGTTTTGCTAGGTCTGCCATAACGAAAACCCATAAACTGGATGTCTTAATCCACAAACATTATTGTCTCTTAGTTCTGGAGGTTAGAAGAGAAGGGTCAAGGTATGAGCAGGGTTGGTTTCTTCTTGGAGCTATGTGAGAGTATCTGTTCCATGCCTCTCATCTTGTTTCTGATGGTTTGCTAGCAATCTCTGGTATTCCTTGGCTTGCAAAAACATCACCTAATCTCTGCCTTTATCTTCACATGATGTTCTTCCTATGTGGGTGTCTCTGTATCCAAATTTCCCTCTTTTATAAGTACAGTAATCGCATTGGATTAGAGCTCAATCTGTCTCAAAAAATACAGAGAGAGATAGCCAAAGCCTCCTCATACCTTTTTATCGGTAGGTCGCTCTATCATGAAGGCAAGAGCAACCCATCTGTGCTGGACCAGCTGCACCTGCCACGAAATCATGGTAGTAGACATCACGGCAGTAGGCTGGCCACAATGGCTCACAACTGTAATCCCAGTACTTTGGCAGGCTGAGGTGGGTGTGTTGATTGTGCCCTGGAGTGCAGGACCAGCCTGGGCAACATGGTGAAACTGTATCTACAAAAATTAGCCAGGCATGGTGGCACATGCCTGTAGTCCAAGCTACTTTGGTGGCTGAGGTGGGATGATTGCTTGAGCCCAGAAGCTCAAGTCTGCAATGAGCCATGATTGCACCACTGCACTTCAGTCTGGGTAACAGAGTGAGCTCCTGTCTTAGAAAAGGAAAGAAAAGAAAAGAAAAGAAAAGAAAAGAAAGAGAAATAATGGCAGTAGAAATTGATTTCTACTATATTTTGGCATTTACTTGTCAGCCTTTTTCTTTTAGTATTAACAGTTTTTGTCTTCTTCTATATGTGCATGTTTGTAGATATGTTGATGAGAAGTAAACTGAGGCTATCTACTTCTGATTGAATGCTTTTTAGGAGTTTAAATTCTTTCTTTTAGTTAATATAATTCCTCTTTCTTTTAAAACTCAAATCTTTAATCCCTTTGAAATTTATTTTAGTGTTGTGTTAGGTATAAGGCAAGGATCTAGGAATTTTTTTCCTCCAAGTAATTGCCCAGTTGTTTCAATAGCACTTACTGAATAAATTTTCCTTTCCCTTGGACTGTGACAACAATAACAATATTACAAGAAAAAATTGGCAACTTCATCTCATCCCAGGGAGTCTTCAGAAATAAACAAGAAAAGATGATCAAGTCTGGAGTTTGTTCTGTGTGCCTGCCACTAAACGGGTGACTTTTATTATCCAGGTAGATCCTCCAGAGGAACTGGAAATAAGCTTCAAAGTTGTTCAGGGCTTGAAACGCTGGAGTAGGAATAAGATGTCTTGTTATTCTAGGGAATATTTTGTTTTTCTGTATGTATGCAAACTGTATGGAACATGAAATATCCCATTCTGGTGGAGAGGTAAGACTGTGCATAATGTAGCATGTTGGTTCATTACAGAAACAGGAACCAGCATCCCTACAGCCCTCCCTGGAGCTTCAAGTAAAATAACTTAAACCAGAGGTCCACCCCTGTCCAAGGGATCCAGCTATTCTGTGAGACTTGAGTGGCAGCAGGTATCACTTACAACTGGGGCACTACTCCAGAGAGAATGACTCAGACTGTAACCCTGTCCATGAAAAGGCCAGTCATTGGTGGGTAGAGATTCAGAGACTTGAAGAAGGCATCCCTTAGGGAGCTGGCTTGAGAGCAGTAGGCTGGGACAGCTCAGTATACAGTGGGGGTGAGACAGGAGTGGTGGACCCTGTTCTTGTGAAGAACTTCAGTTTGGGGTTCTTTCCACTGGAGACTCCTGAAAAACTTGAGTTACCCTGTTCTTTCACTTTTCCTCTCC